GCCTAGACCCTTCAGAAATGAAGAAGGGTCTAGGCCCGAAACGTCAGCCTTCCTGCTCCTCTGATGCTGCTTGGCCTGCTGTGTTCATCCAGCTCTACACCTGGTTATCCCAGACTATCCAGTTTATTTTTATAACTCAAACCCTTCATTCCTATGTTGAACGAAATCATGACAGATATAAATTGGGGACAAGTCAAAGCTAGTCTTAAGATCACAGATCATAGAATCCCTACGGTGTGGAAACAGGCCCTTCAGCCCCACAAGTCCACACTGACCCTCAGAGCATCCCACCCAGACCCATCCCCCTATAACCCACCTAATCTACACATTCCTGAACACTATGGGGCAATTTAGCATGGCCAATCCACCTAGCCTGCACATCTTTGGACTGTGGGAGGAAACCGGAGCGGAGCACCCGGAGGAAACCCACGCAGACACGGGGAGAACGTGCAAACTCCACACAGACAGTTGCCCGAGGGTAGAATCGAACCCAGGTCCCTGGTGCTGTGAAGCAGCAGTGCTAGCCACTGGGCCATCGTGTTCAGGAAGAATGAGCCTTACACAGGATTTTAAAGTGATACATAATTTAACAGTAGGCACCAACCTGGTTCTTCGCCATCATAAAGCCTGGAATATTTGCTGATCTCTAGCTTGGGCAAGCATTGTTCCACAGGTACCCAGTGCCCAGTCACTGGGCACAGCAGCTCTGTTGGCTGGTACAGAAGCTGTGATGGAAAACATCATCGGGATTAGGCAGTAGGTCAACCCAAAAGATCTAGAACAAACTCTTCAATAAATATTGTCTTGAATTACAAACTAACTATAAGTCCTGTTGTACACTTTTCTCACCCGAGCAAGAAGGTTTGTGTTTAAACACAGCACAAGAGTTGGGATGCAGGACAAATGCAAGGTAACAAGATGCTCTTTACGGTGGTTCAGCGATGGATGAGCCCACGTCAGGTAATAAAAAGGAAAATCAAAAAGACACAAAAGCAGCAGCAAAGATCGGCTGTGTGAGGCGAACAGCTTTGAAATTTATTTAATTGAATAAAAAGGATCCCATTTCAAACGGAGCTGAAGCCCATTCCAACCACAAAATCAGACAGAACATCACAAACATCTCCAAATTCAAATCAAACACTTCTAATGGTGAGCACTCACACCCGACGACAGGACCAGTCAATTCAATGTGAAATAAATCGGTAAGAACTGCATGAACAGTGGTGATACTCTAGGGAGATGGACTACTTCTATATAGAGGGCAGATAATTATAGAATAAATAAATTGTATAACTTTGTGGTTTCCACTGGTATCAATAAAGAAATAGTAGGAACTGGAGAATCTGAGATAACAAGGTGTAGAGCTGGATGAACACAGCAGGCCAAGCAGCATCAGAGGAGCAGGAAAGCTGA